GGGTCCTACTGTATTTTTATATTTTGCTAATGCAGTTGAAAAGGTACATTCAAAACTGAATGGCATATACTATGAAGGCTTTTTCCTGTGCTGTTCCATTTTGGATGTACCGCATTTTACAGTGAATGAGGTGCTCCAGTGCCGAGGATGCCCCCAAAACTTGCACTGGCTAAATTTTGGACCAAAAAAAAAAAAGTATCAGTGGTAATAACGGTAATGAAGTTATGTGAAGCCTGATGCATTACAGCCTCTCCTCACTTAACAATGGAGTTCCGTTCCTAAGACCACGTCTGTAAACAATTCATCGCTAAGTGAGGAGCATACTATAATGATAGTGAGTTGGTGTCAACCATCTTTGATATTGTTTTAATTTCACCTTTGCATCATTTATAACATTTTAAGTATATTTTAAATGTTTACACAGTAGTATACTGTATATTGTTATAAACAGAATAGAGGAAATCAGTTCTAATATACATTTAGGTATGCATACTGGTCAGAGAGCCCATTGTAACTCCAAGTTGTCGGTAAACGAGTACGTTGCTAAGTGAAGAGAGGCTGTGCGTATAAAAAAACACGTTGATGGTTCATTCTGAGTTTTTTATCACTGATGCAGCTGACTGGCAGGTTAGCCATTCATCTAAAACAAATTATCATACATAATAATGTGTGTAAATTACCTAGGATATGCCCCCCCCCCCAAAAAAAAAAAGTCAGACAAGTGACTTCCATTGAGGTCCTTGATATACTGAATGGTTCTTCAGTTTTCTTGTGCTTGGCAGTATTTTTGTGTCTTTCACTGTCACTCAGTTTAGCTGCAGTTGAATATCTGCAGGACACTCAATCATTTGAATCATGTACAATAGATAACTGGACCTGATTGGCCGTGTTCTCTTTCTACTCCTTGTCTGGATGTGTCTACACCTAGGACTGCATATTGATTTGTGATAGTTTTTCATGCATTTCAAAAATTATTTTGTTTTTAAGTTTGATTATACTATTTAATAAGAGTACATATGTACTGCAACAAGACCAAAACCAGCTTTTGTGTATTACTATAATATCTTACTGCTGTATCTTACCCTATCTGCCATATCTTACCATATCTTAGTACTGCATCATACCGTATCTTACTGTCACGTTTTACCGTATCTTACTACCATTTCTTAACGTATTTGACTGCCATATTTTACCGTATCTTACTGCTGTTTCTTACTGCTGTTTCTTACCATATCTTGCTGCTGTATTTTGCTGTTTCTTACCGTATCTTACTGCCATGTTTTACCATATCTTACTCTTATTTCCTACCATATCTTACTACCATATTTTGCTGCATCTTACTACCATTTCTTAACATATCTTATTGCCATATTTTACCTTATCTTACTACTGTTTTTTGTTGTATTTTATAGCCATATTTTACTGTATCTTACTGCCATATTTTACCATAGTTTACTGCCATATTTTACCATATCTTACTGCAGTATTTCATCATATCTTACTGCAGCATTTTACTGTATCTTACTTCCATTTGATGGTTTGATGGTGAACAGGTGAATTAGCAAACTGATAGTACTGTAGTTTGTCTAATTCCATCGCCTGGTTTACCTTAGCGCCAATGAATTTTTGCTATTATTTTTGTTATTCATTTTTTACAGAATAGTTTATAAAAATCATTATTGGATCATATACAGGAGCTTAGATTACTGTTTAGTATTGAAAAACTTCTTTAGGCTTAGGTTGAGGCCTCTGAGCAAAGCAGGTATGCCTTGGATTTGCCTAGCATGGGCCAGTAGACCTGCTGCAGTGCTCCTTCTTTCTCATGTTCTTGTATAACCTTCGGCCTCCAAGACACTGGGAAATAAAAGTGCCTTCAGTGAAGTAAAATGTGGTACAGCAGACCGTCGTTTAACACGATAGTTATTTCCTGGAAACGCCATGGTAGTTAAAACCATGTTAGACAAACTTAAGAACTTATGAGAAAAATAGAGTTACATTCCTGGGAGCCCCCAAAAAAGCCAAACAACATTTTTTTTAGACCAACCGATCTTACAAAAATAAAAGTGAATATGTAATTGTAGTTCATTGTTGTGATGTATTATGTTGTTTTTAATGCTTAACCCTTTCAGGGTCCGTCCTGTAGATCTACGGCTTTACATTCAGGGTCCAAACCGTAGATCTACGCCAAAATTCTAGCGGCGTCAAGTTTAGTGCGAGAAGGCTGGTAGGCCTACATCTGAGAGAATGGGTCTGGGTGGTCAGTGTGCACACCATAGAAAAAATCTGGACGCCCGCATGGCATTGTGGGAATGTCGGCAGAGTAGCTTTGTTCATCGTGCCTGGCAGCAAGGAAGCTCTCACTCCCCACTCACTCTCCGGGCGAATTCTGACTCTCCTCTTCACAGCTTACAGTTCTAAGACTGATGGAAGTGGAGCTGAAGACGAATTCTATGGTTTTGAACCATATGATACCATTGTGCCATATGGTACAATGGTATCATATGGTACAATGGTACCATATGGTACAATGTACCATATAGTACATTGTACCATATGGCACATTATACCATATGGTACAGGGACCCTAATGGAAATAAGTCTGTCTGACTTTTTTGGGTTATCCTAGGTTCTCCAAACATATGTTGCTAAGTATATTCTATGTAACTTTATTTGTGTATAACTAAATAAACTTACTTATGATGCCACATGCACTTGAGTAAGTTTATTCAGGTGTACAAAAATACAATTACATAGATTATCATACATAGCAGCATACGTATAAAATCCTAGGATAACCCAAAAAAGTCAGGGTGACTTACTTCCATCGTTATCCCTGTATCTGTACCATATGGTGTCCTGTACTGTATGGTACCCTGTACCATATGGTACAGGGTTATTGTGTTGAATACAATGAGTGTACACATATACAATATACATATTGGTCTCACAGGCCACACATGTTATTAGAAAAAGAAACAAAAATTAGAAAAGAAAAAAGTAAAAAAAATGTAAAATAAAAAAAATGCGATTTTGAGGAAGTCACTGATGTTGCCGCCACCCTGTCATTTTGGGTCAACTTCCCGCCGCTGTATCTTGGTAAGTACTGATCAGAATTTTTTTGTTTTTTACCTTCACAAAAATATCTTTAATTCTGTAAGAATTTTTTTTTTTTTTTTTTTTTTTTTTTTTTTTCCAAAATTTCTTGGACACTGGGGCACCCCTTCTGATTTTGGCCTTGGACCATGAAAGGGTTAATTCTCTCAAACCAACCTTTGCTGGCCTTAAATTCAATAACATCACCACTAGTTGCATGCATTTTTTTAATTAAATCGTCATGCAACTGCCTTGCCTTTTCACATATTATAGATTGAGAAATACTATCTCCTGATATTTGTTTTTCATTTATCCACAACAACAGTCTCTCAACATCTTCGAGTATTTGCGATCCCTGTTTCAAAAACATTCTTGCACCTTTTGCAACAACAGCTTCCTTGATTGCCTTTCTGTTGGCCAAGATAGCGATGGTTGATTGGGATTTGTTATCCCTTTCAGCGGCGAGAGGCCCTCCCCTAAACTTGTTCTCAGGGTCAAAAATTTTTCAGAAAAAAAAAAAAAATTCTTATGGAAAGATAGAGAATCTTTTCCCGATCATAATGACACCAAAAGTATGAAATTTGATGGAAAACTTACGGAATTATGCTCTTTCGAAGTTAGCGGTCTCGACGATGTTTACACATCGGCAATTTTGCTCACTTTGAGCCCTATTTTCGGCCAATTTACTAGTGGACAAAAATCATAATTATTTCGCTAGAACTCTATTTTTTCTATCGAATGAGCACAAGAAACCACCCATTTACTGTTTTCAACTATCCAATAAAGTGATCAGAAATTAGCAATTTTGCCAATTTCACACAAATTTCAAAAGATACCAATTTCCAAATAGGGTCCAGAATAAGCAACACAGACATTCCTGGCACTAAAATAACATTTCCTCTGTTCATTAGTCACATCCCTGGGCCCCTCTTACATTTCTTTTGCTTTCCACTTTGAATTTTTATTCTCACAAAAAATAGAAGATTTAGTGTTATGCAGACTACTGCATTAGTGTAGAAATGGTATAAATAATATCAGTACACTCGTGAAAGAATATTAGACTCCCCAGTTGATGTGTATTGGATGCGTGGCATGATTTGTTTACTTTTGAACTTTGGCAAAACTCGAACATTTCTGCTACTTCGAGCTCAATTTCAAGGTACTTTTCATTGTGAAACCAATCAAAATCGTCTCAATTTCTGTAATGTCTTCCATTCTATAAAATGAGACCAGGAAAATTATAATACAACCATAAATACCCTACGAAAATACAGTGCAACGTTGCTGTTTTAAACCAAAAACACGGTCAAAGTTTTTTTTCTCATTACGCACTGTGCTGCAGGATTTTTTTTATACTGCACACACTGACCACATAGACCCATTCTTTCATATGTAGGCCTACCAGCTTTCTCTCGCTGGATTTGAGGGCACTAGAATTTAGGCATACTGGTGCATCAGTAACCCTGGTGTGTAAGCCGTACGTCGGAAACCCTGAAAGGGTTATACAACCTGGCCAGCTCAGAGGCACGCACTCCACTTTCATACTTTGTAATTATCTCCTTCTTCAATTTGATTGTAATTCTCACCCTTTTTACCACAGGGTTGGCACTAGAAGCTTTCTTTGGGCCCATGGTGGCTTATTTAGCAGTTACAAGCACTAAAAAGACTGGAATAATACAAATTTTACCGAATGTGTAAACAGTGGCACACTAACTGAAGGCAGGGCAGCTGAGGCGCACTCAGGCCAGACGGGCACATGGATGCGTTCGGGACGAATGTTGTTAGTCTAGTTTTTCATCATTGGTCGGGCCAAAATTTTTACGCTGAATCGCATCATTAGGCGATTTTATCGTTAGACGATGCCATCGTAGGTTGAGGGTCCACTGTATATGATTTAATTTTTGCAGGGTTTGGTGTTGGCTGGTCTTGGGGATATAGCAAGACCTGCAGAAAAGCTATCTCTTTCCCAGTCATCAGCTCTGGCAGCTACTGGTCTTATTTGGTCAAGGTAAGTACCTTTTATTATTGATGAGATACACTATTTCTTAGTGAATAGATATCTTGGAATATTTTCATCCCCAGGGCTGGACTGACACACAGGATGCCAGGTTAAAGGTCCACACATACTGGCAAACTGTCAGCCACTTGAGGAAAAACTTTGCACATACTGCACTGTAACGTGTTTGTGGTATTGATAATAAGTTATAAGTTACTTTTACATCTTTATAATTTGAAAGATATACACCATATGATGCTATAATGAGTAATATTTTCTGTATTGGGTCAAACTCCCATTTTAATTACCGTATGACAATAGAATTGATTTTGTTTCCCATTTTATAGATTTTTTTGTATATTGAAAGGCTCAAATATTATTTTCACTTAGATCAAACAAAACCTTAATGAGAGGCTGTCCTTCCTTAATGCTCCTTCAGCTCTTCAAGTTTTAGGATTGCAGTATCATGAAAATGATAGTGATGATTGTAAATATTTACACATTATCATGCAGAGTTTCTTAGTAAAATTGGTTGGTTTATAAGTTGATGATCCACCAGTAAGCTACACATGCAGGTTTAGACCTAAAACTAATGGTTAAATATTTAAGACTTATAACAAATAAAAAACAAATTGGATAAGATTTTCTACCAATTTAAATTATTTTGATCAGGTCAAATAAAATAAAAGAATTTTAAATTCTCGTTTCACGAGTGTATGACTTAAACTTTTGTTATTGTACAGTGTTTGTAGTAGCTCTAAAATAATGAAACTTTGCAGATATTCCTTGGTCATAATTCCTAGGAACTGGAATCTCTTCAGTGTGAATGTGTTTGTGGCTACAACAGGAATCTACCAGTTGGCTCGCATATTCACGTAAATATCTGCTGAATTATCTTAGGCCCTCAGCACTTGACAAATGGGACCTCTGAGAACTTTTAGGAGAATTTTTAACATTAATTATATAATGTGCTTTTTAAATGATGCTAATTCTTTTAACTTGATATGATAATATGTACTTACTTGTGTATAGTGTTATTGTTTGGTGTTTTTGTTAAGTTTAACCTCTTTCCTGTGTTTTACACTACATATTTTGATATTGGTATTCATTCTGAGTGATCTACACGGTTAGTGTACTACTGTTTATGCTTCAAGTACTACTACCACTACTATACCTTAGCTGCTGAAAAGCTGTTTCCTTGACTGACTAGCGAGTTCCTAGATGAGAATCCATTTCATAGCTGCTGACTAATTGCTGATTAGTGAGTATCTACAATGTAAGCAAGTCATAGCTGCTGATTAGGGACTTATTAGACTGTAACCCAGAGCTGCTAACTAGTGAGTTACTTGACTGTAACTCATAGCTGCTGACCAGCTATAAGAATAAAAATAAGAAGTTTATTTTGACATGATACATGGTTGTACAGAGGAATATAATAGTTGGGTGTACATGCCAAAAGCCCTTTTGTATGCAGAGCATTTTGGGCAAACTTAAAAATTAACTTAAGATTAGGAAGGCAATAATAGTTCACATGGTCATTAGAATATGAGATAATTGAATACAGTGAGCTCTCGACTAATGATGGCATCGGGTAATGATAATTTTGGGTAATGATGTGTTTTTGCGTAAAAATATTGGCTTGGCCAGCGATGAAAAACTCGGGTAAGAACATTTGTCCTGAACGCGTCCGCCTGTCCGTCTAGCCTGAGCGCTTCAGCTGCCCTGCCTTCAGCTAGTGTGCCATTGTTTACAAGCCAGGGCAGATGGTTCCATGCATACATGTGATACATTTTGTATTCCATTGTTTTTAGTGCTTGTAACTGCTAAATAAGCCACCATGGGACCACAGAAAGCTTGTAGTATCAAACCTGTGGTAAAAACAGTGAGGTGTACTATTGAATTGAAGAGAGATAATCGCAAGGTACGAAAATGGAATGCGTGCCTCCGAGCTGGCCAGGTTGTATAACAAACCCCAGTCAACCATTGCTACTATCTTGGCCAACAGAAAGGCAATCAAGGAAGCTATTGTTGCAAAAGGGGCAAGTTTTTTTTTTTTTTTTTTATTATCACACCGGCCGATTCCCACCAAGGCAGGGTGGCCCGAAAAAGAAAAACTTTCACCATCATTCACTCCATCACTGTCTTGCCAGATCGCAAATACTCGAAGATGTGGAGAGATTGTTGTTGGTGTGGATAAACAAGAAACTATTATTTATTTATTTATTTATTTATTTATTTATTTAATGTCTTTGCAAACAGTACATAGAGATTGTGTATATACAATAGGGGGTTCAATAAAAAAAGAGCTCTATTTGCCAGGCTTAGGGGCCCATCTTACATTTTTGGGTTTAAAAATTTTTTCTAATCAAGGGAGTATATAAAAAGTTAAAAGTAGGAAAGTAATTTTTTCATATTTAAACATAGAAATTAATTAAAAATGAATAAAAATTTGGGAAAATACAAAGTTTTAACTTTTTTTATTTAAAATGCTTTTGTGAGAAACAATATTCTTTTAAATTCTTGTAAACAAGGGATAAAAGGCAGTGTGTTTGTTTAGTTATGGAAAGGGTAAGTAAATGTGTATAGTATTTAGCATTAGTCTGGAAATTTAAATGGTTTTTGAGAAGAGTCTTAAATTGTTTTTCAGCCCCGGGTTATTTAAAAATTTTTGGGTAAGAATTCCAAAATTTTTGGGGCCCTTCATGTGCATAGATTTTTTACACTTTGTAAGGACACGGGGTATACAAAAAAGGTTGTGTTTGTTTGTGGTCATTTGGGGGGTCCTTTTTTTATTTGGTGAGGAAAATTTGAGGGGGGGGTTTAAATTTGCGGTTTGTTCTGTGTAGTAATAGGCCCATGAAAAAAGAATGGATGTTTTTAAATGGTAAGAAATTTCAGATTTGGGAAAAATTGGTGAGTTTGCTGGGGGAGGGGAAATTTGTTATCATTCTTATGCTCCCTTTTTTGCTGGGTTTTAGGGTTTTTGGTTTTTAGTGTTTTGATCCCCTGCACAAATCCTATGAAGAAAGGGTATATGAGTGAAGGGACAGTGCCAGGAGAGCTGATTGTGAAACTATTTTTTTTATCCACGGGCCGTTTCCCCACCAAGGCAGGGGGGCCCCGAAAAAAAAAAAACTTTCACCACATTCACTCCATCACGCTTCCAAAAGGGTTTTAACTAAGTTTTTAAACTGCAACACAAACACCCCCCTTCAGAGTGCGGCACTGTACTTCCCCCCAGGACTAAACCCGGCCTCCCGGGTTTCCCCTAAACCCCCTTTCATAAAGTTACTTTGCCACACCCCCCACGAAAGTATTAAAAAACCTTTGTCTCCATTCACTCCTATAAAAACCCCTCACCATGCCTCTGGAATCCAAGCCCCTGCCACAAACCTCCTTTACCCCCTCCCTCCACCCTTTCCTAGGCCGCCCCCTACCCCCCCCCTTTCCCACTACAGATGTACACCTTGAAGTCATTCTGTTTCGCTCCATTCCCTACAGCAACCCCTCAACAACCCTTCCTCACCCCGGGACAACATTTTGGAATCCCCACCCCTCCTAACTCCAAACTACGAATTCTCTGCATTATTTCACAAAACATTGCCCTCAACATGACATCTCCACGCCCCCACCCCTTTCCTCGCTGCAACTTATCACCCACGCTTCCACCCTATAAAGCGTTGGTAAAACTAACTCTCATACATTCCCCTCTTTCCCCAAAGGACAAAGTTCTTGTCTCCACAGACCCCTAAGTGCACCACTCCTTTTTTTTCCCTCAAAATTCTAGATTCACCTCACTTTCTGCCCATCCGCTGCACGTCCACTCCCAATTTGAATACATTCACCCCCTCCATACTCTCTCCCTAACTGTATTCCAATTTTTTCATCACCAATTTTTTTTGTTACCTCATACCTTAACTTTCCCTTATTCACCTTTTTTTTTCTTCTTTTGCACACCCTACCAAATTCATCCCCCAAACCCCCCCCTTGCAGCTTCTCTTCAGATCTCCCAAGAGCACGTGTCATCAGCAAAGAGCAGCTGTGACAACTCCCACTTTGTGTGTGATTTTTTTATCTTTTAACTCCACCCCTTTTGCCAAGCCCCTCGCATTTACTTCTTTTTCAACCCATCTAAAATTATTAAACAACCCGGGACATAAAAACACCTTGTCAAAACCTTTTTACGGGAAAAAAAATTTTTCCCTCTTTCCACATACTCTAACTTAGCCTCCTATCCTCGTAAAAACTTTTCACTGCTTTGTAACCACCTTACACCATCACTTGCAACATCTGCCACTTGCCCCCCCATCCCCCCGTCATACGCCTTTTAAAAAACCATAAATGCCACAAAGCCCTTTAGCCTTATTAAATACTGTTCACTTATATGTTTCACTGTAAACACCTGGTCCAAAAACCCCCTACCTTTCTAAAGCCTCCTTTTTTATTGCTTCCAAATCCTGTCTTACTTTTAATTCTTAAATTAAACCTACCAACATTTCCAGGTACACTCAACAACTTCTTCTTCTTCTTTCAACACCCCGGCCGTATCCCCCGAGGGGGGGGTGGCCCAAAAAGGAAAAACAAAGTTTCTCCTTTTAAAATTTTAAAATATAATACAGGAGAAGAGGTTACAGCCCTTGCCCCGGCTTTTTAGTCGCCTCTTACAACACGCAGGGTTTTAGGGAGGAAAAATTTGTTCCCATTTTCCCAGGGAGAAAGGGGAAATAAACAGTAAGAACTAGAAAAAAAATTAGAAAAAACCCCCAAAGGGGGTTGTAATATGTGCTTTACATGTTTGTAGTGTGCCCTAAGTTAAGTAGAATAGCAAGATCCCTGAAACTTGCATGTTCATGAGAAAAAAAAAGGCACCACAACCCTACCTCATGTAAAACAATTACAGGCTTTGTTTTACACTCACTTGGGGGACGGTAGTACCTCCCGGGCTTGCTGTCTACCAACCTACACCTAGACTCCAGACTTACCCCCCTTTAAAATTTTTAAATCTTTTTATCCCTTGCCTTTATAAAAGGGGAACTATGCTGCTCTCGCCAATCCCTGGGGTACCTTAACCCTTCCATCTTTTTTTAAATAATTGCCCCAAAACCACTCCAAAACTAACCCCCACCTGCTTTTAACATTTCTATCTTTATCCCATAAATCCCGGCTCCCTTTTCCCCCCTTTCTTTTACCTATGCCTCCGAACTTCCGCCACACTCCAACGGTTTCTTCCTCACCCCACAAATGTTATTCCCCTTGCCCTATACACAAACACAGTTCCCCCATCTTCTAACATTTAAACAATTCCTCAAAATATTCCCTCCATCTTCCCAAATACTCTAACCTCCATTTAATAACTCTCCCTCCATTTTTAACGCAAATCCATTTTTCCCCTTTGGGCTTTTTTAAACTTTTAATCTCACTCCAAAATTTTTTCTTTTTTTCAAAAAATTTGTTGATAACATCTCACCCCATCTTCATTTGCTCTTTTTTACATTGCTTCACCACTCTTTTAAACCTCTCTCTTTTTCTCCATAACTTTCCCTCCTTGCATCACTTCTACTTGTAAAAATTCTCAATGAACTTTTTTCCTTACAATCTCTTTAAACTCATTCCACCATCGTCCTTTTCCCTCCTGACCCATTTTCCGTAACCGCAAACTTTGCTGACACCTTAACACTACATTTTTAAACCTACCCCATACCTCTTCGACCCCATTGCCTATGCTCTCATTAGCCCACTATCCTCCAATAGTTTTAATCTTTCCCTAACCCCCTCTTTTATTTATAAACCTTCCCCTTTCTCTTTTCCCCTGATGCTTCTATTCTCCTTTATCCCATCTACCTTTTATTCAGGGTACTACAACTAAAAGTGATCT